TTTGCTTACGAAGAATTGATAGTTACTTTCAAAAATGGGCATTCATTTCAGAATGTAAACTTCTTTCTTTCTGAAGTCTGTGACCACAATCCGATCATCTAGCATTGGGGTGACACTCCGCGGCCATCCAAACTGAATATTTGAACTTGTCTTTCCATTGAAAGTTCCTTCCAACGTAAACTGTTGAACTCGATTATTTCTGCCATCACATAAGAAAATGTTATTATGTTTGTCAACACATAACCCACACGGCTTATTCATCTGTCCATCACCGTTTCCTTTTTCTCCAAACTTGTACAGAAGCTGTCCTTTCCCATCAAACACTTTCACACAGTTATTTTTCCTCTCAGTTACAAAGAACTTTTCCTCGTAACAAACGCAGCTGGAAGGATGATCCAGCCTTTCTGGACCGCTGTCTCCAAACTTAAACACAGGTTCACCATCCATTGTAAACACCTGAATTCTGAAATTATAAAAATCCGCTACAACGATAAAACGTCCATCACTTGTAATACAAACACTTGCAGGATTCTTAAACTCTCCATCTCCACTTCCCTTTTTTCCAAAGCTTTTCACAAAGTTCCCTGTCTGTACATTCAACTGCTGTATTCGGTGATTACATTGATCAGCCACTAGAATCTCGTCATCGTTGAGGAATGTGACGTCGATTGGATTCTCTAATTGTCCATTCTCATCTCCATAAGAACCAATCTTTCGCACAAACTTTCCTGTCTCATCAAATACCAGGATACAATGACCTTTATCATCAGCCACAGCAATTACACCTTTACTGTTCACTGCAATGCCGGCTGGATCTTGGAGCATTTCTCCATGTAAGTCCAACTTGCCTACAACATTTAACTCTCGTGCTTTGACCAGAATAGAAAAAGGACTCTTGGCAAGTTTCTGTCCATTTATCTTTAATTCTATTTTATAAGGACCAGGTACTTTCGCTACAAATTTTGCTTGGAAATTTCCATCTTCTTTTTCACTCGTCACCAAGCTCCTCACCTGATCAGCAGGGTTTACGTGTATTTCAACACGATCTGTGTGCTGAGTGTTTCTGATTTCTCCTTCGCTTGATTTGGGACAAATTAGTAGCTCTGCCTCTACACCAGCTTGGAAATTCTGATCCAGTCCTTCCACGGTCGATCCTTGCACATCAGCTTCGCTGAATTTCGTAAATCCCAGACTCAATCTCTCTGGTTCACATGTCGACACAAACTCCACACACGAGCTAACCGGAAGTGCAGGCATTGTGGTCTCGATGAGGTCTTTGATTCGTTCTTCTACATTTTTCCTGTTTTGCATTATGTCTGAGCTTGAGCTTCTTTCAACCAGGTTGTTACTGAACTCAAATGCTTGGTCAAGTTGCTTTTCGAAAGAGACAACCGATGCTTTTCCAGAATGTAATTTCTCAATCCTTGACACGCGACTCTTCTCTAGGGCAGTAATGGCTTCACGTTGTAGTTGGCGAAGCTTTCCCATCATCTGTTCGGTTGCTTGGGAAACTTGGCGTTTAGCTGTGGTAATCTTCGTTTCCAACTCATGTTCCGTTTTCTCAAATTCACGAATAACGCCTCGGCAGACCTCCTTCATCTCTTTGACCAGCTTTGCTCTGGCAATGATGTTTGCTTTTTCATCGTCCGCTGCCTTTTCAAGCGGAACAACATCGTGGCTCTTGTGATCAGTGGCGATGCAAACCTGACACACGCAGCTTTGACAGCCCAAGCAGAAAAACTTTGTCACTTCTTTCTCGTGATACTTAACGGAGCAAAACGACTGCCGTTTCAACAACGCCTCGTAGTCTGTAGCTTGAAACTGTCGCACTGGTGTGACTTTGTGTCCTTGAAACAAAGTTTCTCGAAACACTTCGTGTGCTTTCACACAGTCTGGGCACATAAACTTCTCGCAATCAAAGCAGTAATTGATCTCAGCGCTCTTCTTCTGGCATGTACTACAGCTGATTTCATTTCCCTCGCCGCTGCGTCGAACGGCGAGAAGACTCAACAAACTGTTGTGCAGAAAACTGCTCGGTAGATTATCAAAACGCTTTCCTTCAGGGATGCGGATTTGCGCCTGACACTCGGGGCATCGATAAAACCCTTGTTTTTGGCTCGTTAGTGCATGTCTCTCCAGGCATTCACAGCAGAACGTATGAAGACAAGCAATGGTCTTGGGTTTGGTGTAAGTATCCAAACAAATCGAACATGTTACATGCTTTTTGAGGTTTTTAAGAAGCGACTCCATCACGAATTGCTGAGTAAAACACAGCCCTGTTTTGTCTGAGATTCCGAGAAACTGAACTTGTATTAGCATTCTATTTAAAGCAGCGAATCAGATAAGTCTCTTTAGGATCACGTGATTGACAGGTTTGAATTACAATTTTATTCACCTGTTGTTTACTGCGTAGTAAAATCGATCTCTAGACCGAATGTGTCGCTGTAGCCACTGTATCACGAAATACACTACGCTGGGAATGTTTGTTAATATACCATTTAGCTCATTTTATCATAGCTACATTTACCGTAGTTTAGTGAGTTTGGGATCCCGAGAAACTTGTTTGATCCACACGAAAATTATTAGAGAGGTTTTTTGGAAGTGACTCTATCACGAATTTCAGAGAGAAACAGACCCTGTTTTGTTTGGGATTTCGAGAAAATGAATTCTATTTAAAGCAGCGAATTACATCTCTTAAGAATCATGTGAGCTTCCTGCAAAGATTGACAGTTTTGCATTTCAATTTTTCTTCACCTATTGTCTACTTTCTCTATTACTGCGTGACCGAATGTGTCGCTCTGGCTACTGTGTCACGAAAACAACACGCTGCGAACGTTTGAAATTATACCATCCACCTCCTTTTATCATGGCTATATTTATCACCGTTTAGTGCGTTGAGATTCCAAGAAACTTGTTTGACTCAGTATTTTATTAAAAAGCAGCCAGTCAGATCTCTTTAGTAGAAATCTCGTGCTCTCTCGAGCGGTATTTGATAGCTTCAGTTTTGGATTTCGATGTTTCTTAATTCTTTTAAAGGAAGCGTGAGAGAGTAACAATGAGCAGATGTCTCGTTTTCATGTTCAGCCACGATTGGAAATTCCGTGAGATTGACGGAAAGGTCACTAAAATCTGCTTTCTTATGAGAAGGGAAACCAGCTCTCTAAGAGTTATAACTTATTTTGATTCGTTTGCGTATCGTATTTGGTTCGGATCATGGATTAGGCTCAACGTCAGAGACTCTGCGAACCTACCCCTCCCCTCACCCCAAAACAGTCAACGTATAATAAGTCCGGGTTAATTTTGAGTTGGGGGGCGGGGGGGGGGGGTGGGTAGGTGCACAGATGCTCAGAAAGCCAACCACTTGTTGCAGAAATAGGGTTAACTAAATGTAGGTGAAAGTTAAAAAAAAAAAAGGTTGACTGCAATTCTTCTCTGCGATACTATTCAGTTTATCCTTGTGACCAAGCAACTTTCAAACATCAGTCTTCCGGTTCAACAAATGCGAACAGAACGGGGGGAGGAGGGGGATGATGGGTGAAAACTGAAAAAGAGACTCAATTGAAAAGAGATGGAGGAGTCACCTTACCTAAGCTCTTCTCTTTACAAGCGCTCGGCCCAACAGAGGGTGAACCTGGTGTGGTCTCGCCTTTGGTCCATGGCTGTTTAAATAAAGTGTATGCATCTAATAAGTGATTTTGCCTCCTAATGCTGTTGTTGTTTGGCATTTGAAAGTTTGAAAAAGATAATGCGTAAAATTCTAGATAAGTCCGTTCTACATAGAAGGTAGGTTCGTTACATTAAGCCCGTAACAGTCATGGAGGCATGACAATAGTGGAAATAAAACTTTTCAGTGCAGCCTTCTTTGTATCACAGTCTAATTACTTTAAATGTAAATGGAAGGTTCCCTGAGCACTAGGCCCAGTCTCTGCCGAGGTTTTGCCATTCGACACCACGTTAAACCACGCCACACATGTGTTCTCATCGCTTGATATTCTCGCCTTTATTTTTTCGGATGAGGATCGTTTAACTAGACTTACATCGAAGAAAAAGAACCTTACGGAACCATTACGGATATTGTACCACTGTTCAAGGTTACGGAAAAGGACACTTGCTTGTTTGAAAGGATTTATCATACAGTATTGTATTCGAACAGTGTGCTGAGCGTAGTTGATCGGATCGAATAAAACGTGGTATTGACACTGAATTGACGACTGTTACACAAAATCTTTTTGACAACCCTGAGAAGGCATTTCTTGGCCATGGGTTGATACAAATTTATCTTCGATGTCGACAATATCTCTCTTTCGTGAGAGATATTATAAACTCGTATCCACCAGCGGACAAATGATGTTCTGTTTAGTCTAGATCTATAGTTATTGAATACGTATTTAAACGAAAAACAATTTTAAAACACATAAAAACATTGAGTACAGAGAACACCAGTAAATAATATCAGCTAATAGAAAAGCTACTTCAACCTCCGACTAAATGTAAAACAAGTTCTCATTCCAAACATACAGCAAAGGTAGGTATAAATAGTTTATTTACCTGCTTGTAGTTCTGACATTGCCTCAGTAACTTTATATGATATTTACACACGGATATAAAACACTGTATTCTCAAAAAGCGCATTTCAACTGAGTGTCCTACAAACCAATCCAAAGTGATCACAACTGCCAATCATCGAGCACTTTTCAATTCAGCATCGAAAAACCAAAATCAAGGTGATGACAACTGCCAATCAGAAAAAAGGTTACCATGATTATTAGCCAATGAGAACACAGAGTAGAAACAGGCAACCTCCTTAAGGCGCGGAAAAACGCGAGTGACCAAGTCGTGATTGGTTTACATTTGATTGGTTGAGATTATGACGCGAGTTTTCTGGACCAATCACACAACGAAGTAAAGCAAAACCAAAGCAATACAACATCACTTTCGATACTCAGTTGGAAACTGCTCTAACAAAAGGCCAGAGATAACTCAAAAAAAAAAACAACTAGCAAAGAGCCTGAAGCGCTGGAAATATACAAATGGCCCAACTCCAACACTTGATCTTGTTTAGGCTCGTACCTGATTAGTCAAGAGGACGGCATAGGCTTTCTAAACCAATAACAGACTAAAGTCAAGTTAAACCAATGCCCATGACTATATCCATGACTACTTTCGACACTCAATTGAAAATTTCTTTCATAGTTTACAATATTATCATATAAAGACTAGTCTTAAAATAATTCTGAACATGTCTAATGATTAGGTCTCTAGATTCTGTTGCTGTATTGCGCTACTCGTTAGGTCTGATCTGTAAAGTGATTTTCTGTTGGTTATCCAGGCATTCTCGTAGTTTATTCTCAGTCATCGTTAGCCTTTGTTCCAAAATTGAAACCGTCTGCAAGAAAAAGTGGCTCAATGAATATGACAATCTCTCCCCTACACTGAAAAATGTTTTTAAAAAATCAAGTATCATTGCGTACAAGCGAAAGCTAATACATCTCCACGTTGTACAAAAGTTTGCCTCGTAACTGTACAAGAAAAAAAATTATACGAGACAGCCAATCGCTGTTGTAGAAATGAGCTCAATCTTGCAATCAGGTGGTCCTTTTTCAAGGGAAAGGGTAGAGTAGATCTTGCAATCAGGAAGTCCATTTTAAGGGGGAGGATAAAGAGATAGAGAGAGAACGATTGTAGTGCTTTCCCACAAAAAATTCCTGATTCAGAATAAAAGAGACCATGCTTCTGAAAGGCTAGTAGAAGGAAATAGCAAAAATTGACTACAGTATGGAAGCCACGCCCCCCGTTTCAAAGTCTCTTGTCTTGTTTAAGGAAGGATGTTTTAAAATGGACATTGATTCGAAATTGATATGTGTCAGCTTTTCATCAGGCCACACCCTTTTGCTCCTTTTCCCCTGACATGGTCCCCCTTCAACCCTTGGTATACTCCCCAATGCGTGATGGGGTCATTAACAGATGTGCATCCCCACCCCACACCCGAGGCTCTTGGTTTCTACAAATAATTCCCTGTTCAGATATGTTTCCACGACCAACCTGTGTTAGCACATCCAGCTGTCCCACAATGTGCTCCAGTGTCATGCTCAGTTGTGGAGGAATATCTCTTCTTTCTAGGGGTGTGGTGAGGGGAGGCTGTGTAGCTGGAATGCCTCCCAAACCATCAGCCTCCCCAGTCCTCCCTGTTACTTCATCTAATTTGCTCTGTCTCTGAACAATGAAAATTTGCAAGAAAACATCTTGATTAACTTTGCTCTTAAACTGAACCACGTCAGGCGGAAGGGGATCTCGTGAACATCACATCTTAGCTTTCAACTAATGCAATCTGGCAAAGTCAAAATAAAATCCTAAATGGCCTACTTCATCCAAAAAGAGATTTTAGTACAAAAAACCCAGAATATTTATCTATTGCTCGCTTTTTCCTTGCAGCTTGCGCCGTTTCCGTGTGACACAAACCACTCATGCGCAATTTCTTCCCCTTACTATATCCTCCTCTTACAAACTTAGGAAGGCTAATTGAAAGGTAGACGCTATATTTTTACCTTCTTAAACGGAAAGTAATGGAAGCAGCGCATTCAGGGAGATTCAGTTTGGGAAAGGGAAAATCATTGAAAATCTAAGGGAGTGATCGTTATTTATCGATGTGGGCTCCAGAGGAAAAAGAGTTAAAAGGGTACCTGAGGAATTGAAAACATGGCGGGTCCCACTTCAACCACTTCTGGGTCACCAACAGCGAGATTCCTGGGCTCTGCTCCAGCTCTGACCTGTAAATTGAAACAAATCAATTCAGGTATTTCCCACCTTCGCGGGTGTCTTTCGGGAAAAAAGTCCTACGCGCGCTAGTTTCACGAAAATCTTAGCAAACTATACATCAGAAGAAAGCTTTATAACTGCAGTATACGATAAAAATATAATTTAAGTGACTTTTCTTTTAAAGAAGTGCCAGAAGCCGGCAACACGTGAAACGACCGAAGGTTCTTCTATGGAATTCATCTGGTACTAGATGCCGCAGCACAAGCAAAATAGCTGCACAGTCTCATTCACAAGGCATTAATCAACATAAGGGTGTCAGACTTTTTCGATATTCTGATTGGTTGTCTAGATATCGGTATCTAAAGTTGAAGTAGCTAAAACTATGCCAGGCGTGTTGCGTAAATGGACGCCATGGAACAAATATTTCAAATACTAAAATTTCCCGTCACATTTTCGTTTGTCATTATTCCTAGAATGGTTTGGCGAAATTTGACGAAAATCGGTCAAATCTATAGACCCTATAAATTCGCTCTAAGTGGTTACATTCCTACCAAATTCAAATGCGAGATTTTAGCTCATAAAGGTTTGCAAACAACTCGCGTCACGCTAGATTACCTCGCCTCCAAAAACCGATGTAAACAAAATATGGAAATATCATCGAGCCTCAACATGAGCGGTTGCCGCGAAAATTTCCCCTAAGAGATTCGCCCAGGTTCGAGATTATGACACCTTCCTGATTTATTAACTTTTATTTGAAAATACGTTTTTCTAAATAACTCGGTTGCTTTTAAGGATTTCAGAAAATTTTTGAATGGAAACGTTAGTTTGAATGTTTGAATTCAGTTTAGTCAAATAAAACAAAAATCAATTTTTTCGGCCTCTGAGGTTGGGAAGTAACCTTTTTTAACATAATCAACATTTTCAAACAATTATCAATTAAGTGTCGAAGGTAATCCAAGATTGCTTTGGTTTAATTCACTGTGCTCTGTGATCGGTCAAGAAAACTCGTGTCACTTACTGAACCAATCAGACTCAAAACTCCAACCACCTGGTTTGTTTTCACTGTCAGTTCTCATTAGCTACACGTGTCATTTTCTTTTCATCTGGTTGGTCTTTGAGATTTCTTGGGTTTTGGTTTTACACCCTTCCCCCCCTCCCTAGATGGGATTCAGTCTGTCACAGGTTACCCCCCCCTCCTCAGCATTTCGTCAGGTTTCCTTGACAGCAGCACCCATTTATAATCCTGGGTGGAGAGGGGTGCTGTGAAAGTAAAGTGTCTCACCCAAGAACACAACACAGTGTCTTGTCTGGGTCTTGAACCCAGGGCTCTTAGGACTTTTACCCCTCACTCCCTAACATTAGTATACATATTCTCCCTACTGCTCTCTAAACATTTCCTTAGGTGCTGAAAAGGAGAATTTGACTAACAATCAAGAGGGTTTTTTTAGTTTGTGATCATTTCCTATTTTCTCATGACCTTAATGTTTGATTCAGAGGTGATATTGAAAGGAGAATTTAGATGCTAGTCACTCTTAAGAGAACAACAGGTCAAGCCACCATCTCATACTTAACCTTCTTATTTGTTCTTAAAATTTCCTATCTCATGAATTCACAGCTTGTCCAGACTTACCTCCGGTGCAGCTTCCTTGGATGGAATCCTTGGAGGGGGGTCATGAGTATGTGGTGTGGGTACAGATGGAGATGCTGCTCTTTTTCTGTGGGAACGTAGCACTGAAAGCAACAGAAAAAGCTATTGAACACCCTACCAGTCACATGTAGGAGGCTAAAGCAGCTAAAAAATTAAAAACAAACAAACAAAAACAAACTTGAGACAAAAATATCTGATTAGTTCCAGAGAATTGACATGAAATGTTAACCCTCTAACTCCCAGAAGTAATTAACATGTGACTTCTCCCTTAAAATATCCTTATATGATCCAGCAAACATGTAATGAGAATAATCAAACTTATCAGGTGTTGCTATCTTGATCTAACAAAGAATTCTCATCACTAATTTACAGGGAAATATGTAGAAGTTAAAGGGGAGAATTAACTATCAGATCTTGGGAGCGAAAGGGTTAAATGCCATTGTCAGAAAACTTCCTAGGAAATTCCAATCACTTGTCTGGGGACCCCTGTTAGTTGCCATGGAAACTTCATTTCAAAACCTCCTCAGGACGTTTCTGATTTCATCCTGGTGGAGCACTTGTACACTGCAGTTTTAGAAGAGCCATCTCATACATGTAGCTCCTATAAAAACGTCCTTCATAATTATAAATTGAAACAAGTTACCTTCATCATAATCAACTTTATCAAAGTTTGTCTTCCACACCATTACCTGAAAAACATGAACACTAACCTAAGAACTCAGTTTTTATTATAAGATCAGCTGTTAAAATGAGAAAAAGTACACTTTCTTTCAGCTAAGAAAATTTACAATAATTTGCATTTTACCTGCTCATCTGAACTTCCTGATGCAAAATATTCACCATTTTGTGAGAAAATTACACATGTTGCTGGTCCCTTCAATATGGAAAAAAAAAGCAAGATACCTGTATGTTAAAACATTTCTAAATGCTTTTTATATAAACTTAAATTTATTTAAACCTAAATAAACTTAACTTGATTTATGATATTCATTTATAAAGCAACTGCAACACAAGACATGCTCTAATTGTTCCATTGGTAATTAGATGAGAATAACGTTTTAGATTTGCACATCGGTTTTAAGAGATTATTTTCCTCGTGTTTACATAGTCTCATATGAAGATGGCAGAATTCTCAAAAGTTTTGTGAACTCTCTAAATAACTGTCTTCCGTTCATTCAACCTCCCTCATGATTAGATGAGGCTGTATAAACACTGAAAAAATCATTTACTGTGTAAGTATGGGATGCATAGAAGAAATCCTATTTGAGAAGAATTCACTTTATCCCATTTAAGACTACAATTTTAATGTATTTAACCATGATGATAATGCATTGAAAATGTGACATAAATACTGTAACTTAATATCATTTTTTTAAAATAAAAATGAAATGAAAAATAATAACACTAACTTCTGCTACACCTTGTACAAACCTGATGTCCATGGAGTGTGTAAAACAGTCTTCCTTCCATCAAATCTAATATCTGGAGAAAATATAGTATTTTTGGTTACACACTTTTTCAAATTTCAAAAGTGCACTTTTAATGCACAAGTCAAAGGGAAAGGGGAGAGGGGTCAGTAAAATGGGTTTGCTGTAGCCCAAAAGTAATGGATGCAGGCTCAGCCTCATAATTTCAAACTGTATCAAACATAAAATTTACATCACAAACTGTGATTATAGAGCAAATAGGCAGGTGACAGGAAGATGAGATGGTGCTTTCTACTGGATACAAAAGTGTAAACAAAGGACAAGGAAGTTCTTTCATGTACCCAAGTTAACTTTCGCATCACAGCTGAAACCACCATCCCATGTTCCTTTTCTTGTTTATTAGTAGGGTAGCAGGGTTAGCCCAGTGGTAAGAGTGCTCACCTCCCTCCACCCTAGCCCCAGGTTTAATTCCTAGAGTGGGTGTCACATGTGGGTTGAGTTTGTTATTGGTTCTTGCCCTTGCTCAGAGGGTTCTTCTCCCTGTACTAAATCCAACATTCCACATTCTAATTCAATCTGGAAACAGTGGACAAGAAGAGCCACTGCATGGAATGTCTGTTGCAAAATTCCCGTTATTTATCATTATTATGTAGTATTATTATTTGCTCCCAAGTCTCCAAAGATGATACTGACCTTAAGTGTTAGCATTTGTATGTGCTACAAATTGAAAACAATAGTTCAATTAAAGAACATCAAAGATGATTGACCATAACAGCTGGTTCAAACAATCTTTGCACCGGCAAATTAATTTGTATACCTTGATAATGCTGAAGTAACTTGTTCATCCTTATGTCCCACACCTTAACAGTACTGTCTGTTCCACCTGCTGCTATGCATGTGCCATTTGGGTGAAATTCTACTGAGTTTACATATCTAAAAGAAAAGATAGGTTAGGTAAGAAAGAGGAAATAACTTGTGAAAGCTAATTTATTAAAAAACTAATTATAACTCCTAAATTCTTTGACTTAATGCTGTAGCACAATTTCCAATTGTACAAACTTGTGCAATTTTTTTGTCTTTAAATTATTTACCTGTGCTTTCTAACACCAAATTGCACTCAAAATCATGCTATTACCGATACAAATTGAATTTATCTGGGAGAAGTTACACACCCTCCTGGATCATAAAATGTATGAACACATTCTTTGCTTGTTCTGTCCCATATCTTAATTGTCTTGTCATCACTTGCTGATACAATCATTCGCCCATCAGGAGAAAACCTACAAAAATACTGAACTGTAAACATTCACAGTCAAGAGGAACAACTATGAAAAAAATTTGGGTATCTAAATTGCCCACTAAACATACTTTTATTCTACACTAAAGTAGACATCCCCAAAATTCCTTCAGTTGTTTTGTTCTACTCTTCAGTTGAGCAGAGGTGCTTTAATTATAGATTACAGATCCTTCTGCAGCAGTTTATACTCATAATCATTAATTTTGTAATCCTTGCCGAAGCATCTAGTTAATGCACTGGGACTTTAAAAATGCATTATTTGTCACAAACAAGCAGCTGATGGTATGTAATCAAGACCTTTCAAATCAGACATTGAACATAAAGGTACATTATATTCCCTTATCTGATGATCGTTCCTACCAATAATCATGTATTATTTATGACTTATTTCAACTGTGAATGATGTATACCTTGCACATCTAACCCAGTTCATGTGAGCATTGAGAGAAAATTGAAACTTTTGACGATGAACAGTCCACACCTAAAGCAGTAATCATGGTAAAATAATTATCCTAAATAGTATA